TTTAAACAATAGGAGGATTCATACCTCTGTTGTGCAGAGTTGTCTCCAGTGGGCGGTCAGGATCCTATGACACTGGCTTCGAATCCCTGGTTCATCTGATAATGTTTCTAGGTTTATTAGCTCCGTACAATACACCTACTTGGTTCAACAAAACCTTGAAGTGTACAAATATTTTGAAATACATATTACCAAAACATTGTACCAACACATCCTGATAAATATTAAATTTCATATACTACTCAAAAGAAGTTAAGGGCACCTAATTCTTTGATATTGCTAAAGTTAATCTATCATGGCTGTCAGAGTAGCTCTACTAATGTGAAGAATCAGGTGGTCCGTAACTGTTTTTACAGTCGTATGACGTAGACGATTTGTGACAACCCTAGTGTCCATGTATCAATACCTTGTACCATGATAAACTATGGATGCTGCTGAGGTTGATGTAGATCTTGTCAGAATCCTCAAAGTGTATGTGAAAGTGCTGATAGCTGTTGGACTGTGTATAGATTTAATGAAGTCCTTTGTATTGTTCGAAGTCAAAGAATTTGTACCGTGATTTCTCAAATGTTGTTGTTTACCTGTGATATCCTGATTGCTGGCAGTGTTTCCTGACGAATCTTTCGTTAACATGCACAGAGTTGTGCCCCTTAGTCTGACCAGGAACGTCTGATCATAACTGATGTACATTCAAAGTGAAAACAGCTCAATCGCTCTCAAATTAGCTTTTTCCAAATTATGTTACTATGGATGGGTTTACTTAGGTAGAATATTGATATACTTATTCCAATGTCATTTGCTATGTAAGTTTATCAATTTTTAAAAAAACCTAGTTATTTGTACAATTTTTTCAGAACTTAATACATTCTCCTCATCTACCCATAACAATATTCTTCTCGATTGTACAGCTGTGTTATACGAAATAAAGTTTGTATGAAGCAGTGATATATGTCTTGTTTTGCTTATATTATTTCCAGTCTCAATTGGGGGGGGGCACGGGTGGCCCAGTCGTCTAAGGTGCCGCGATTCGCTGTGCAGAGTTGCGTCCCTTGGGCACGCCAGAAACCTATGATTGTGGGTTCGAATCCCGGTTCACCCCGATTATGTTTCTAGGTTTGTCAGCACCATACCCGTGCTCGTGGGTTCCACCGAAGTGGTAAAGGTCTGAGACCTGCATCACTTCGGGCTTTCCTCCCACATTAAGCTGACACGCCGTGATATAACTGGAAAACTGTTAAAAGCGGCGTTAAACCCAACTCACTCACTCACTCACTCCAGTCTCAATTGCTTGGACTACGGGGCCCTTGGGGGCCTGCGATAACACCTGGAAAGTCGGCAATGCACGTCGTGCTCACTTACTACTTATAATCCGACCCGTGAAGATCCGGGGTAGAATAGGAGTCTTCAGCAACCCATGCTTGCTGTAAAGGCGACTATGCTTGTTGTAAGAGGCGACTAATGGGATCGGGTGATGCATGTCGTGGTATCCCAATTGCGTGGATCGATGCTCATGATTTCAATCACTGAATTGTCTGGTCCAGACTCGATTATTTACAGACCGCCGTCATATAGCTGGAATATTGCTGAGTGCGGCGTTAAACAACAAACAAACAGAAATGAGATGAAATGGGATTTAAATGTAGGATAAAGCACGTCCGAGGGGTTTATGATATTTAATACCCGCATCCGCAGGATAAAGGTTTTAAATACCATAAAAACCAGAGGGGAAGTGTTTTATCTAACTTATAAACCGAAAAAAGAAACTTGAAACATTTATCAACATTGTTATCTTTCAAACATACTTTCCATGAACCTCAGGATACGGACGTAAAATATCTGTTGCTGGCGTTCGATTCTTCAAAAAGACATTCCAAAAAGCATTTTAGATTATCAGTGCCTCTCACTAAGCTGCGGATACGGAGGTTGCGTGTTCCATTCTCGGGAGTATAAAGAAAACGTCTGTCATTATATTTTGTATTTCATTACATGTTACAATCTGAACGGAACTGTAATTATAAAATACCCTGGACATTATAACATATTATATAGCAAATAGGCCTGGAATATCCTATAAAATTCCGGGGATATTATATAAAATCCCGCGAACATTACAACGTCCCTGTTTTGAGATTTCATCTGACTGGAGAACAATAGGATGACGTCACTTGGGGTTTATGACGTGGCGTTCAAGATTTTTGTGTTTGTTGGTTGGTTGGTTTGTTGTTTAACGCCGCACTCAGCAATATTCCAGCTATATGACGGCGATCTGTAAATAATCGAGTCTGGACCAGACAATCCAGTGATTAATATCATGATCATCGATCCACGCCATTGGGATCGATGACATTCATCAACCAAGTCAGCGAGCCTGACCACCCGATCCCGTTAGTCGCCTTTTACGACAAGCATAGTCGCCTTTTACGGCAAGCATGGGTTGCTGAAGACCTATTCTACCCCGGAATCTTCACGGGTTTTTTGTGTTTGCAATAGTCCGGGTTTATGCCAGATTCATAGTGCTAGCCCACTGAGATACCATGCCGCAGTTTAACATGAATATCCCACACAGACACAGTATACTGACTCCGAGCCGACCAGTCCTTGTTTTAGCCCCTTAATGCCGAGCGCCAGACAGGGTAACAACAAGTACCATATTTTAACGTCATTTGGTTTGACGTGGCCAGGTCGAACTACCGACCTTCCTCTTTCCATGCAAACGCTCTATCCACTACACTACTGATGAGGTCTGCAATTTTGAATACTAAATACTAAATAGGTGGCTGTTAAAAGTATAATGCGTATGGAATGACTGTAACAGACGAAATGGAAATGGAAAAGTGACAATATTAATGAGATAAAATGACCGTTTGAGCAATTTGCTTGGCACTGGTCCAAATGTAATATGCTGACTGCAATAGAATAAATACGCTTAGGACATCTTCGATTAAACATTTGTAGTTTCTGCAGATCTAAATGTTGGTCTAAAGCATGGTCTTTGATAGTTTAATGGAAACAACGTCCATTTAGGGGAAACTGGTCCATCGGTCAGTAGATCCAGGCCCTACAAAGGAACGCAACTCTGCACATCAAATTACTTCTCCCTGGGCCACCGCGCCTCCTCATATTTGTGACCACTGTGGGTGCGTGAGTGAGTGAGTTTGGGTTAACCTCTTGAACCTCTGTGTAAAAAGGGCTTCACACGTTGTACCCACATGAGGAATCGAACCTGGGCCTACGGCGTGACGAGCGAACACTTTAACCACAAGGCTACTCCACAGGCTTATCAAGTAGAATAAGTCGAAGGTGTTAATCGTAATAGATATAATCCCCTGGATAATCGAGGATGTATAGATATATGTCTCTATCTCACGTTCTTAACGTCAAGGGTTTTCCTCCCACATCAAGCTGACACGCTGTGATATAACTGGAACACTGTTCAAAACGGCGTTAAATCCAACTCCTTAATTTCAAGGCAGTAGCTCGCTCTATATGCAGCTATAAGGTGTTCGTAGCGTGTGAAACAGAAGGCCAACTGTACAAGAATGTGCCAATATTATCTCTGATGAAGGGTGGTGATGCAGACATATGAAATATCCAGATGTAATTATTGTGGTGCGTTTATCATTCTGGCTGTGCAATCATCATACGGTGGTGGTGCTGACGGCGTTGACGGGAGCGGTGGCGCTGACGGTGCTGTAGTTGCAGGTGCACGTGTGTACTCTTGGTATGAAGAATATGTAGTCCCTAGAAGAAAACCACGTATTGTGAGTGAGTGAGTTACGATTGTATGTCGCATCAGCAATTTGTCAGTTATATAGTGAGTGAATAATGTTGACCACCGCAGTCAGCAATATTCCAGCTATATAGCCCGGAGTCCCGTTAAAAATCAGGACCTGTCAAATTGAAATTGTTCGCTAAACAAGCTGGTTATCCTGAAAAGAATTTGTTGTTAATTAAATACAGAAAACGGTGCCAAAGTTCGTTTGTTTGTTGTTTTTGTTTATTTAACGCCGCGCTCAGCAATATTCCAGCCCTATGACGGCGGTCTGTAAATAATCGAGTCTGGGCCAGAGAATCCAGTGATTGACATCATGAGCATCGATCTACGCAATTGGGATACGATGACCTGCATCAACCAAGCCACCGAGCCTGACCACTAAATCGCCTCTTACGACAAGCGTAGTCGCCTTTTACAGCAAGCATGGGTTACTGAAGACCTATGCACGGCTACGAAGCACAAAGGGACAGAACGTCCTTTAAACAGTGGATTAAACGACTATTATGCATGCTAGTAACGGTTTGAAATATACGCGAATATTTTGTTTGTTTGTTGTTTAACATCGGTCACAATGACACACAATCTTCCCTGTAAGAGTGACCGTGGACGTTATACTAACTTTAGCACTGTTTCTAAAGTTACTTCAGTGAGTAAAAGAACGTCTTGAACTTCTGCTATATTTGTTAATTTTGTTTGTTAGTTTGTTTGTTTGTTTGTTGTTTAACGCCGCACTCAGCAATATCCCAGCTATATGACGACGGTCTGTAAAAAATCGCGTCTGGATCAGACAATACAGTGATTGACGTTATGAGCATCGATCCACACAATTGGGATTCGATGACACGCATCAACCAAGTCAGCGAGCCTGACCACCCAATTCCGTTAGTCGCCTCTTACGACAGTATTCCAGTTATATCCCGTCGTGTCAGCTTAATATGTGGGAGGAAAGCCCGCAAGTGATGCAGGTCTCAGACGTTTACCACTTCGGTGAAACCCACGAGCACGGGTTTGGTGCTGACAAACCTGGAAACATAATCGGGGCGAACCGGGATTCGAACCCACAATCATAGGTTTCTGGCGTGCCCAAGGGACGCAACTCTGCACAGCGAATCGCGGCGCCTTAGACGACTGTGCCACCCGTGCCCCGGTCGCATAGCTTCTGTGGAGATATTGGATACACAGCTCAACGTCTGTCACTATCGTCTAAAGACTGTGTGATTTACCTGTCTGCATGTCCAGTGGGTATTGACTGACCACGCGGTTCTCCCCCTCTTGTTCCTCCTTGCAGCACATCCAGAACATGATGACCACCACGAAAATGCTGAACAGCACAAACACCACCGTCACGACCAAGACGTTGTATCTGTCCAAGCCGGAACTACGTGATAACAAGGTGAGAGAGAGTGAGGTGAGGTGAAATAGGGTTTAACGTCGCGTCCAAGATTATTGCACTTATATAGCGACGTGCATGTAGTGTGTGTGTTTGTGTGGCTGCTTGTACTAGTCCGGACTGATGCCGATTTATAGTGCTAGCTCACTGAGATACCATGCCGCAGTTTAACATGAATACCCCACTCAGACACAGTATACTGACTCCGAGCCGACCAGTCCTTGTTTTAGCCCCTTAATGCCGAGCGCCAGACAGGGTAACAACAAGTACCATCTTTTAACGTCTTTTGGTATGACGCGGTCGGGGATCGAACCCCGGACCTTCCACTCTCCGGGCAGACGCTCTACCACTAGACCACGGAGGCGGTCTTTGAGAGTGTGTGAGCATGGTTTAAGGCCGCTTATAGCAATATTCCCGCAATATCACGGGGACACCAGAAATGGGCTTCACACGTTGTACCCATGTCAGGAATCGCACCCGGGTCTTCGGCGTGACGAACGAATGCTTTAACCACTAGGCTACCCGATCGCCAAAAAGATGAGAGAGTATGTAGGGGATATTAAAATTATACTACAATTAAGGCCAGATTTTTTTCGGGCCTTTTTTGCGGATTTTCGGCCCACATATTCAGGTCGGTAGATCGAAAATAATATAAAACAATAAATTCCAATTTCAAATAAACTGCCTGGCCAAAGGAGTGAGTGTTTGAGTGAGTGAGTAAGTGATTGAGTAGGGTTTACGCCGCTTTTAGCAATATTCCAGCAATATCACGGCGGGGGACACCAGAAATGGGCTTCACACATTGTACCCATGTCGGGAATCGAACCCGGGTCTTCGGCGTGACGAGCGAACGCTTTAATTATTTTTTGTGATGTGTTTGATACGGGTATCATAGTTTTCTTGTGGGCCTTAAGTTTGCAGTGTTTCCGCTACTGTTTCCAGCCTAGTAACCTTTTGGTAAAGTTTGTCATTTTTTTGTCAAATCAAATGTTCAAGTGTATACTTTTTTTGCTCGGCTGTTTACATTAAAGGGGAATACTTCAAACAAACAAAAGTTAAAAATATATACTTGAAAAATAAACCGGCAAATATATGCTCTATCTACTGAAAGACAAACTGCATTTTGACAAATGCTATAAAAAATTGAAGGATATTCAATATGAAAAGATTATCACGATTAGAATTTTTAAATAGGAATTGCGAGAGCTCCTTGATGGTATTGATGAGGGGAAACTTCAGATTTACTGGTTCAATGGTTTAAGAGGAGTCTTGTGAAAAAGGGGGGAAGGATGGAATTTATGGAAGACGGGCGACAGACAAGACCAAAAGAAAATTGATACAACCAAGAAAGTTAATCTACGGCATGGTGACACAGCTCATGGGGGCAATAAAACTCAGGATTCTGCTTGTAAGTTTGTTGAACATACTCATGCATTGTGTAGACATATTTACAAAGAGCTGTTTCAATAGTTCGTAGCAAATAAAATTTATCGCAAGTTACTCAACAACATGTATATAATTAAAGGGTGTTTTTTTAACCTACCTTGTCATGGCAACGCTCTCCCTAAAAGAAGAACGTAAATTCTTGATGAAATTAACAATCCGAACATGCAATATTGGCATCGTAATAATCTAGCTCGGTTTGAAGCTGATCTGTAAAGGTTCTTGCAATAATTTGTGACTATGGATGGACGTCTAAGCAACAAGTACCTGATCAATACACGGTGTTCATGTTTGTTCATGGATCCGTGAAGATCCCGGGGTAGAATAGGTCTTCAGCAACCCATGCTTGCCGTAAAAGGCAACTATGCTTGTCGTAAAAGGCGACTAATGGGATCGGGTGGTCAGGCTCGCTGACTTGGTTGATGAATGTCATCGATCCCAATTGCGTGGATCGATGCTCATGATGTCAATCACTGGATTGTCTGGTCCAGACTCGATTATTTACCAACCGCCGTCATATAGCTGGAATATTGCTGAGTGCGGCGTGACACAAAAAACATAGGCAATTGTTTGGGGTTTTAAAAGATGGAAAAACAAAGTCGTGTCAACAAAGACAGGAAGCGGTAAATCACGTTCATACTTTCTTGATTATCGATCATATCGTATCACTTGGCGGCGCCATTTTGTTTGAAGCAAATGCAAGTGATATGAGAGGCGGAATCTGATTGATCAATAGGAGGGACGACGTAGAAGAGACATAACTCGTAATAGCCACTACGATCTTTTACAGTCAGTTAACTCCCTTGCCCCCGGTAGATGGGCTGATTTCAGCGTTAAACAACAAATAAAGGACACGCGTGGAGCTAATGAATCGCATCGAGTCATACATTACAATCATCTATTTTTCTATGGTCTGGGCGAGGTGAAATTGGGTTTAACGTCGCGTCCAAGATTACTGCACTTATATAGCGACGTGCATGTACGTGTTTGGCTGGCCGGTTGTACTAGTCCGAACTAATGCGGGTTATACAGTGCTAGCCAACTGAGATACCATGCCGCAGTTTAACATGAATACCCCACTCACACACGACTCCGAGCTGCAGGACCTGTCCTTGTTTTAGTCCCTTAGTGCCAAGGAGGGTTATTTAACGTCATTTGGTATGACGCGGCCGGGGATCGAACCCCGGACCTTCCGCTCTCCGGTAAGACGCTCTTTCCACGGGGCGGTCTCCACAAAGTGTAATACGGTGAGGTGAGGTGAATTGGGTTTAACGTCGCGTCCAAGATTATTGCACTTATATAGCGACGTGCATGCACGTGTGTGTGTTTTGTGTGGCTGCTTGTACTAGTCCGGACTGGTGCCGATTTATAGTGCTAGCTCACTGAGATACCATGCCGCAGTTTAACATGAATATCCCACTCAGACACAGTATACTGACTCCGAGCCGACCAGTCCTTGTTTTAGCCCCTTAATGCCGAGCGCCAGACAGGGTAACAACAAGTACCATCTTTTAACGTCTTTTGGTATGACGCGGCCGGGGATCGAACCCAGAACCTTCCGCTCTCCGGGCGGACGCTCTACCACAAGACCACGGAGGCGGTCGTAATACGCTAAGACATTATTCTGAAATAGTGGATGTTACTCCAGGTTTACCAGCAACCCAGTACCTAAAATGGAACACATCTAACCACGTACTCACAATGAGAGATTAATGCATCAAGTGATGAAGGTCGTCATCTTCATCGAGCGTCATCTCGCAACCTGCTGTCTCCGGAGCGAGTCAAATTTGATTGCTGCTATATGCTATATATATATATTGCAGGGCTTCAATAGATTGCATTCCAAGTTGTGCATTTCACAGCGAGCCACTGTTCGCAAATCGATGTTACGTTGTCGTAGTTACAGCTGAAACAGCTGCAGTGCATGGCTTCAGATGAACAAAAGACTTCGGACCTGGGTCGAACAACGTCAGCTTCCTTTTGAAAATGGGGCGGTTGGGTAGTCTAGTGGTTAAAGCGTTCGCTCGTCATGTCGAAGGCACGGGTTCCATTCTCCACAAGGGTACAACGTGTGAAGCCCATTTCTGGTGTCCCCAGATGTTACTCGAATGTTGGTAAAGGCGGCGTAAAACCCAACCCACTCCTTTTGAAATTAAGTATGCTTCATTTTTAAGATGTCTATGCTTTTTGAAGTTTTGAAGAGGCGTTTTTATGTAACTTTTTAAGGCTTCGTTTTTTGTTTGTTTTTTGTTTGTTTGCTTTGTGTTGTTTTGTGTGTTGTGTTTTTGCTTTACGCAATAGTCAACAATGCTTCTGCTTTAAAAGGGCGGCCTGTAACTTAACTAATCGAGTCTGTCACCCAGACAAACCACTATTTATAACGAGCAACGCCCCAAGCCGTTGGGGTACGATAATACGCCTTCAACCAAGTTACCAAAACAGGTCTCCGTTCCACACAGCGGTCGTAGCGCTAAGACGATCGTAACTCCCATACTTTAACACTGACTTATGACAGTCGTAGCGCTAAGACGATCGTAACTCCCATACTTTAACACTGACTTATGACAGTCGTAGCACTAAGACGATCGTAACTCCCATACTTTAACACTGACTTATGACAGTCGTAGCGCTAAGACGATCGTAACTCCCATACTTTAACACTGACTTATGACAGTCGTAGCACTAAGACGATCGTAACTCCCATACTTTAACACTGACTTATGACAGTCGTAGCGCTAAGATGATCGTAACTCCCATACTTTAACACAGACTTATGACAGTCGTAGCACTAAGACGATCGTAACTCCCATACTTTAACACAGACTAACGACAGTCGTAGCACTAAGACGATCGTAACTCCCATACTTTAACACAGACTAACGACAGTCGTAGCACTAAGACATTCGTAAATCCCATAATTTATCACAGACAGAACGGGGCCCTGACCACCCGAACTATTTAACGACCAGCACAGGTTGCTGGAGACCTGCTGTCACCTGGAATCACCACGGGGTTCATAAATAGCTTCCTAGAGAAATCGGCATATAAAACATGCACTATTCATATACTCTAAACTATTTATATCTGAGAAAGATGTACACTATTACCAAAATATGGCATGCAGTTATAAACATTACACACACACACACACACACACACACACACACACACACACACACACACACACACATCTTACTCCACTTATTTAATTATATAAATATATATATATATATATATATTCTGGCAACCACCTCCATCTGTTCCCAGCATATTATCCCATGCATATTATCCCATGCTTAACGCAGGTAGCCGAAATCCACAGGTCCGGCTTCAGCGACGTTGTAACACCCGGCAACACCGGCCGCTCTGTCCAACAGCACCATACACTGGCCAATATTCAACACGACACGACGACGACGTGCACAATGATTCGAAAAGGTTAGTAGATTTTAAACGATGACATTGATATGAGAGTAGGTTCACGGAACTAAAAAGGTCAAAATAGCTTCGTTGCCTGTAACTTTGCGTTTGTTGGCTGTTGGATATTTTAGCTCTGGAATGTCTTTGATTAACAACCGACACTTTTCAGCCGACATACTCGCGATGTTATGTTAATTTAGATACAGTCTGATTGAGAGGAAGTTTTTTTGTTTGTTTATTTAAAAAAAAAAAATACTTAATAATAATAAGGATCAGAACTCCAATAGGCGCGGGTACCACCAGACACACAGCGTACGACACAATAAACGCAGGGTTTCTTAGATTTAAATTTTCTTTGAATAAACATAATCTTAGAAAGGAAGGGTCACGTTCGCTATTCATGATACTGTCGGATCCCCGTGTCACGAACCTTGCGGGACCGTGTTGTAACTTCGAGCTATCCGGATATTCGAGATAGCAAGGCATGGACATCCAGCTTCAATGGCAGGAATTTCAACTGGGGTTTTGTCCAGTGCTAAACATATATAAACCTTTTAGTATTTCACTAAGAATTGCAATATTGCATATTTCTTTCCCTTTCCATTATGAGAACTTCGAGGTTACAAAAGAAATTCGTGCTCAACACTACTTCATGCTCAAATTCATGCTCATTCTTAAAGTCATACTCAATGAGACTTGTACTCACGCAGAGGGTATAAAACGTCTCGAGACCGCGCTTATAACCTCGGGGCTTGCGCCTGATTAAAAATTAAACGTGAGTATAACTTTTTTTATAACTATTTTTGTATTGCTCAAGGAGGATTTGAAATATGAAGTAAGGTGCTTGTTACTGAATTAGGAACTGTAACCAGTTCACTTCACCACTTTCCGGGGCAGTCGGGTAGTGGTTAAAGCGTTGGCTCGTCACCCGGGTTCGATTCCAGACATGGGTACAATGTGTGAAGTCCATTTCTGGTGTCCCGCCGTAATGTTGCTGGAATATTTCTAAAAGTGGCGTAAAACCGTACTCACACACTCACCACTTTCCACCGATGTAGGGGAGGTGGGTAGGCTAGTGGTTAAAGCGTTCGCTCGTCACGCCAAAGGCCATGGTTCGATTTCCCCTATATGTACAATGTGTGAAGCCCATCTCTGGCGCACCCCGCCATGATAGTGCTAAAGCGGCGTAAAACTCACTCATTTAATGATATAGACGGCCTGTTATATGTAGGCCGGGTATTATTAGCCTAATGAAGAGTAGAAGAAGAATGTTGTAAAACATGAACCCTTTCGGTTTTTTAAAAGTGCTCAAAACACGTCATTTAACGTCATAATTAAACTGATGCCTATATGCGACTAAAGGTTTGCTCGATGATTATATAATAATACCGTATTCGACGTAATAAGCGCCCAGGGCGCTCTCAAAATTAGAAAGAGGGGGCTCTTATTAGAATATTATTTTGGTGAAAAAAGTTGAAAGAAAAATTTCGTGATTTATGCTGACAGCCTGAAATCTGTATGTACGACGGATATATTTTTCCAGAATTTAATTGCCCATAATTAAGGGTGCATATAACACACGAGTGCGTATTATACGCGAATAAATAAGTCTTGTGTACATTGATCAATTGGAAGGGGTGCTAATTGGGATTGTTCACTTGCAAATGTATTAGCAAATATCGCCGTGGGCGCCTATGAGAGCGGGGCGCTTATTACGTCGAATACGGTACATCATTATAAAGTCCAAGAACACCCGATATTTTCATGTGACGAGTCAATCTGTGTAAATGTACTTGCAGGTGGATATTTCAACACACAGCCGTCCAATTGTGGGTGTTATTTAACTTGTCTTGAGTAGTATATTTGACCCACCCCTCTAGTATTCGGTGTATTGTGTCTCTATTCTAGTAGGATACTATAATGCACGTACTATTACTGTTGAGGCGGGTCCAGTTTTATTAAGAGGGAGGTTGGATTGATTAGGAGTGTCATTTGACAATGCAAGCAGGTATTTCACCCCACTCCGACTGTCGCTAACTGACCCTTGAAGATCCGGGTTAGAATAGGTCTTCAGCAACTAATGCTTGGCTGTAAGAAGCGACAAACGGGATCGGGTGGTCAGGCTCGGTGACTTGGTTGATGAATGTTATCGTATCCCAATTGCGTGGATCGATGCTCATGATGTCAATCACTGGATTGTCTGGTCGTAAAGCTGGCATGTTGCTGAGTGCGACGTCAAACAACAAGCAACAAACAAACAAACAAACAAACAAACTGTCGCTAATTGGGTGCACAGGAGGGCCTGTCGTCTAAGGCATTGAGGAGCTAAAAAAGACTCGTTCGGAGTCAGTATACTGTGTCTGAGTGGGGTATTTATGTTAAACAGCGGCATGGTATCTCAGTCGGCTAGCACTATACAATCGGCATTTGTCCGGACTTGTACAAGTAGACACGCACACACACACGCGCACGCAGTGCAATAATCTTAGTTGCGACGTTAAACCCAATTTCACCTCACCTCACCTCACCTCACCTCACCTCACAGTCTTTGGCTATGTTGTAAGCTGTGTCTTGTTTCAGGTTTTCTTCACGATGGCTTCCTTTCTGTCAAACGGAAGATGATGCGGCTTCACCGACACCGTTACATGATTGGCAGCGTCGCCGCCATCGTCACCATCAGCCTAGTCTTGATCCGACACTCCGTACACAAGGCACAGTTACGTGACCAGGGCTCCAACCCAAACCCTGTCACCCCTAACCTAATAAATCACAACAAAATCATAAAGGGTCAAGGTCAACTGAAAAATATCGGTCAAGGTCAAATGAAAAATATCGGTCAAGGTCAACTGAATAATATCGGTCAAGGTCAAAATGGATTAGGCAATGACGAACTGAAGAATCCAAATTCCCGACCGACCTCCAATCTGGATGTTGCACCAAAAGGCGAAGAAGGTATTGAAAAAAGGATTAATAAGACATTGCATGAAATACTACAAAACCGTTTACCAAGTGGGAGTAAGAAGGACGTTCTCAGTAAGACTCATGGGAATTTCAATTCAATATCTAGACACATGCTGGGCCTACAAACGCCGAACAAGGACCCAGAAGCCTGGCACAACAACGTCTCCAACTCCGTCTGGCTCGACTACTTCACACCGACAACGACTGTCACCAACCCTCACAATTTTGAATTCCTCCTGCCAGCAAAGTCGACGTGTGACCACATACAGGAAGTGGATGTCGTGGTCACCATCCACTCAAGACACCAGAACCGGAAGAGACGTGACGTCATTAGGAGCACGTGGGGCGGAGGGGCCAGGACAGGTCTGTGGATGAGCGAAGCCCTTC